CTTACTTGGGTGCCGAGTTGAAATACCCGAACAGACGCGCGCACACACGCACACACGCACACACACATACATACACATACACCGGGGTCGTCGCAATATGCGTTTTCTCATTTGCATATTATGCAAAAACGCATAAATATTAGGAAGGAAGGGAATTCTTATTAAGTGAGCGGTCCCTCAGCATTAACAGTGCTACTCATTTTCCCGCTTTTAGTATCTGCTGAACAAGCAAATGATAAATTAGTTTTGAACGTTCGATATTGATGGAGCTGAGTTTCACACTATGTAGTTTACAGTGTAATTGGAAGGAGGAATTGATTATATGACGCCTTCCCGAGAAGTGTTGGACGATAGAGAGAAGGATATGGGCCTCACTGCGGCAAAGTGACGAATGGGTGAGGCTCGTCGAGCTGCTTCTGCTTCTTGTGAACAGCTGCTGCAAAACTAGCTTGTCCAGAAACCAAAAACAATACGTCAGTTTGGATGGACATCTCCTTCCTCAAATAATAAATCTTGTTACAATACAACTAATTACTTCCCACCAACCCAAGCATTGATGACTTATCTCACCTCTCAAGATACATCTAAAAAATGCACCCCTCGTAAGCACAACCTAGCAATTCAACTCTGTCTATAGTCAGTTTACAGATGTAGATCATCCAAACAGATGTATTTAGCCTTCCACAACGCTATTTTTTGCTTTCCCGGAAGTGTAACGCGCTCCCAATTACGGCGATGGGAAAAAACGCTATCCACTAGCAGTTTCAGTGAAAGTATTATATCAAAGCCCGTGTAGTAATGCGGAATAAGTGTCCGGTAGTAGTTCTTATTGATGAATCCGTGTCATCGGCGAATGACGTGAAATGTCCTTCCAAACACTTTTTTTCATTTTGTCCTCTCTGAAAATCGTTTATCTATTGAATATTTTCTCCCATGTGTGAAATGCAGTAATAGCTGGACGAGTGCAACCATTTTTTCGCGCACTCTGGGCATTTTGCATCCTAGAGTGAAGTCAAATCACCACTTTCATAATCATTTTCGGAACTACTGCCAGGATACACAATACTTTCTAAGGGTCAAATTACGGAACTCACAGTGGGTGATGAGGTTCTGAAAATACGTGAATAACTGTGCAAGACTTCGAAAAAACCAGAATTTCTAATTACTCCCTGTTTTGATGATCCCAAACCAAAACACGATTCCTGACTCTGCAAAATGGAAACTGCAGATAAGACAAAATGCGCTTTTCATGGTGTATTTGATAACTCACAAAGTGAGAGTATGCATGTGTACATACATATGCATAAATTAGCAACTTATTGAAGAATGAATGGGTTGAGGAGTTCAAAAGCGCCAACAGGGGCCACGGATGAGAATGCTCGTGGTTTGTTGAAGTTACAAGAAATGAAGGGGAGAATAGGAGCCACTTGAACAATTTTAAACAATACGCTTTCATATTAACTCAAACTCCATTCCGCACCCACTCATCAAGCCACCAATAATGAATAACTGTTTTGAAGAACAATATAAAAAATTCAGTTAGCCTTCTTAACAGCTCCGAAACCGGCCAGAATATCAGTATGGAATTTTTACTATTACGAGAGTATTAGACGGATGAACCAACTTTTTAACTTTTCACTTAATTGAAAAATAAGAATATGCAAGTTTTTTGGGGAAAAACGATTTCAAGAACCAGAAAAGATAGGAAGTCGAAATTTTTACAGGATTGTTCTATTTCTTAGTTAGAGCTGATTTCAAGTCAATCTTTAAAGCACATCTAGATCACATATGCTTCGTTATCGCTGGCAAAGTGCCAATTCGGGAACTAAGCTGATCATAACGCTCGAACTTTAAGCGAACATTTGTTACCCACGTGTAGGCGCGTATACAAGAAATAAACGTATGTTCGGACACGTCAAAAGTATATTTAACGAAAAGCAATTTCACCAACTAATCAAGCTAGAGAGTTGAAAATGTAATTTTCAACTCTCTAGCTTGACTAGTTGGCGAAATTAATGCGACCTAAGTATTTCAAACTGAGTTTGAAGCACATCTAAATCTTGCATGAGCGCAAATGAATGTTTAGTTCGAGATACTGCTAGCACCCTATGAACCCAAACTGGGCAGGAAGCAGCATTTTTCGATGATGCTTACTGTTCATGTGCAGACCATCAAGCGTAAGATTAACTTTTACTCAGGCATGAGCAATGCGCGCAGGATTACCAAATTTTCAAATTGCAACACCTAGTCACATCCCCAGTACTGCCAGTCTCTTTGCAGGATGAAAACGCACGCACAAAATCCACTATAAATTTATACCAAACATTTCAAAAAACCGTTGCTTATTGTTTTTAAACGTCACTACTTCCAGTATCAAGGAATGAGAAAAAACTGAATATATCTCACACTGTGATTGTTAAAAAGTTTTTTGAAACTTAATAATTGGTATCGGAACGGACTAGCTATAATATTCGTTTGAGCAGGGTCGCGAAGCCGAAGAAGGGATGGGGAGAGTAAGGGAAGGCAAGGTTAGCCAGAATTTCTTCAGCTGTATCCATTAATCAATGGATTTATCTGTTAAAATAACCAACTGCTTTATTTGCAGGGACCTGAGCGAAAACCTGCTGTCGGTATTGACCGATGCACAATTACAGGGACCGAAATCTGTCCGGAACCTACAACTTGATCGAAATTTATTAACTTGGTACCGAACAACTTGTTTTTTAATTGGACATATGTTTTGCAAACTACAGCCGGCAAATATATTTCAAGACTTTGAGGGAACTTGTACTCAGACTGAACAAATACGCGGTCAGAACCAACAGCATAATCTAAGCTTTCTAAAGGAACGACAGTATAGCAAATTTTGAACAAATCACACATATTTCACATTTAGAATGGCAAGGAACGGGATAATATGCAGTTGCTTTTTCAGTTGACTCTACAATAAATAAAATCATTGGCGACACGCACCGGGCAAGCCTGTGCGATCATGCGTTTTTGCAGTATTTCGCGCTGCAATGAGGCAGTTCGGTAACCCAGTAGCTAGAATGTATGAAATACTCGTGCTCGAAGTTCGGGAAGTTAATTGTTATGCGGTACTTGGACAGGGGACATTCCATTAAAATTTCAGTTTTCCAGCTTTCCTACTTCCCGAGTTAGCCATTTCCCGCCAAAAATTTCCACGGGGCGTGCATGGGAACCACGCACAGAGAGAGCTAAACTTAGCAGCTTTACGTTGCAAATGTGCTGGAAACATTCCCTGAAAATTTCATTCTCCCAGCCTTCCTGGTTCCCGAGTTAGCCATTTTCCTGTTAAAAATTTTTTTGAGGCCATACTTGGGAATAACGCACACCGAGGAGCTGAATTTGATAAGTTTATATTGTGCATATGTTCCCAGTATTCCCTGAAAATCTCAGCCTCCCAGCTTTCCTGGTTCTCGAGTTCGCCATTTTCCCACCAAAAAATTTCACGGGGTCATTCGCGATAACCACGATGACTGGGGGCTGAATTTGTTAAATTTAAGTTGTACATGTGCTGGGAACATTTCCTGAAAACTTCAGCCTTCCAGCTCTCCTGGATCTCAAGTTAGCGATTTTCCCGCTGGGAAACTTCACGGGGCCGTACGTGAGAATCACGCACGCCTAGAGTCTGGATTTGAAATTTTTGTGTTCTATGTGGATGGGGAACATAATTTTCAGCTTTCTAGCTTTTCTGGTTCTCAAGTTAGCGATTTTCCCGCCAAAACTTTCACCCTCTCGTAAGCGGGGCCCAGACTTGCGCGAGGGTTGGTGCCGCGGTCCTAGGGTGGCACTTGGCCGGGGAAGCCGTAGGCAAATTTTGGCGACGGGGGTTGCTTGAGTGCCGAGTTGAAATACCCGGACAGACACACACACACACACAAAGACACACAAACACACACACACACCATAAGTCGTCACAGTATGCGTTTTCGCATTTGCATATATGCAAAAACGCATAACTAGTATTAATATGTGAGAATGATGATATTACTGTAAATTGCCAAAAATACCAGGATTGCCAGGGGAACCAGTCTGAGTATCTCATATTAGTTATGTTAATGAAGCCTTTCTACAGGGAAAGCGCAGCTGTGCCAAGCCTTTCAGTCCTCGGCTGCATATCTCCAGTTAGCACTCACCGCTTGTTCGATGTATGTGTATCACCTCTTTGGGGGTTGCTTACTGATCATTTCTTTTTCACGGGCAACGCTAATACGTAAAACTGGACAAAGCAAGCAACATCAGTAAAAAATATTCAGATGAAACCAAACAAATTAGTAAGCGCCTTTTGAAATACGTGGCAGGCGTCCCAGTGAGGAAGGGAAGTTGTGCGAAAACAGATGATGCATTCATGAGTTACTGTATGCAAAAGCTCTATCGCTGTTATGTAGATAGTGGTTCATCTACTTAGTTGAAATTGGGCGAACGGAAATGACATTTCTATTGATAGGCCTTTTACAGTCAGCAACAATATAAACTGCATTGTAGTCGCCGCATTCAGGTGTATTTGATGTTATGGACCCAAAATTTGCATATTCCCAGAAAACATAAAGTGCGGAAATCTGGTCAAAAGTTACCCCGAGCAAACTGACAGTCACATTCTTAAGAAGACTGAAGCTTATGAATTGCTCTTAGCGCTCTGGTAATCAATCTCCTCAGTTTTACTTCTGACTAGCTAGGTAGTTGATGGTGACAAAGATGCGGAAAGGAGTCAGATAATCTAATGAGCATAGACATGTATAGGCAGCTTATTCGGTTTTTTTGTAAAAGATCTGAGATGCAGGACAAGTGTCTCCTGCCTTTCATTATTCTGGGGTTGAGCCACCAGTTAAGCCACCTCACATCTATGAGAGAATGCATACTGTTAAGATCTAATAGCTTTTGAAAGACCATTTTTAATTTGAGCGCATAATTCACTGAAGTATAATTCAAATGTTTATTGTAGCTTGGACAATCATGTGATTTCCACTTGGACCGAAATGGAAATCCTGACACTGAACGGCAATAATCTGAGCACACTGGGCCAACTTGCGCCTATGCCCAGTCTGCGAGTTCTGTTAGTGAACTTCCCTGGCACTTTTTAAAATGTCCTTGAATAAATTCTTGCTTGTTTACGAAAATTCCGAATCCGTACCAAAAAAAATTTCACATCACCAGCAACTGTTCGTAATGATAATAAATAATGTCATATAAAAAATGCAGGAGGCTTGCTGAAAATCCATGGCTTTGTGACTGCCGTTTACGGTGGATGAAAAAGCTTGTTTCTGGACCACGTCCACTTGCACAAAATACGCGATGCCATCGGCCAGCACATTTTCATATGCGCACCCTGGAGAACGTCGATGTAGCGGTATTGTATACTTTTAATACTTATTCAAAACAAAAATAAAATATAAGCGTTGAAAATCTGTGACAGTCAAAAAACTGATCAAAAATTGAAATAATTTGCAAATTTATAAAAAATATTGCTAGAATGAAATATAAGTCATTGAAAAAGGTTAGAACCGGAGATGGAGAGTGAAAGAGGTGCGGTGAAACGGACTGGAGAGGGAAGGGAGGTGTGAGTGAGGAAAAAAGCAGCCCGGACGGCCGTGCAACTGTCTTTAGTCCGGCAAAATGGCCATTACTGCCCATAAATCTGCCCTAAAACAACATTTTCATTGCAATTTCCAAGCCAGTGGGGAACAGCTGATACTTTAAGAAGCAGACTGTAACACTTACTTGCGCAAAAAAGAATAATATCGAATTGGGCGTCTCACGAATTTTTTTTTTTTGTGCGTTTTTGCTTTGCAGCTCTGTAGCGCTGCTACAACACGCAAAAACGCATATTGTCGAAATGTCGTTCGTCTATGCGTGTGTTCGGAAAAGTGGGTGACAAAATTCACCCACTTTCAACTCTGCAGTTAGGAAAACTGGAAGGCTGAAATTTTGGGGGCACATTCCTACCTTATTTCACCCTCCCCCCGTTTTAAAGCCATCGCTCACACACGCTTAGATCTCGCGTGCGGACTCCTAAAGAAATATGCAAATTTCTGTGGCGGGAAACGATTTTGGGAACCAGACAAGATAGAAAGCTGAAAATTAGCAGGAATATTCTGTGTGCTTGTGTGAACTAGAGATTTCAAATTCAGCCATTGCGCACGCTTGTGCAGCGCATAAAGACACTTAAAAATTCGCAATTGGCACTGTGCTAACTCGAAAACTAGCCAGAACCCAGGCTGGAACGCACCAGGCGAGCCGGTGCGATCATGCGTTTTTGCATCAAAATTTGAGGTACTCCATCATTATTTCCCTGTCCTTGCCTCACCCCTCCATTCGCTGCTCTCGCCTCTCCTCCCTCCCCCGCACCCGCCCTGGATATCCCTGGATATTTTTTGAAATGCAAATTTCCAGTTCACTAAAAAGTAGAAGTATTGCCCGAGCGTTCGTTTCC